TTTTTGTATTTAACATGGGTCTATTCTCAAATGATTTCAACCTCTATTATACCCTTTACTATGTGTAGTTTAAATCTTTTTGTATTAAATATAGGTCTATTCTAGAATGTTTTCAACCTCTATTATAGCCTCTACGTGTAGTTTAAATCATTTTGTATTAAATATAGGCCGAAAGTCTTTGTAATAGGAGTGTTCGATAATTCTATGTAATGTTTTAAAAATGTCGTATTTAACTTATCTAAGTTTTTATTTTATTTCTAATCTTATGATTGTTTACAAGGCTTGGAAACTCCTAAGGTTATTAACTCGGTTGAAGAGTTATAGGGCATTGGAGGGGTTGAAGAGTTATAGGCCATTGGAGGTTGCCTTAAAGGCAAACGAGGCCGTTGGAGGTTGCCTTGAAGGCAAACGAGACTTGAATCGCCAATTTGAAGAGACAAGAAAGACCAACAAGAAGGTTGAATTTGTGTGGCATACTTCTTGGAAACTCCTAAGGTTATTAACTCGGTTGAAGAGTTGTAGGCCGTTGGAGGTTGCCTTAAATGCAAACGAGACTTGAATCGCCAATTTGAAAAGGCAAGAAAAACCAACAAGAAGGCTAAGAAGAAGAGTTTAACTTTTTTTTATTGAGGTCTCAACTGCATATTTAATTTATTTGTTTATTTTTTTAAATGAACAACTTTTGATTTAAAGTCAAAACAATTTGGATAAAAATGATTTTGACGTTTTTGTATCATTAGTTATTGTATTTTGTTTTCCAAGAAGAGAAATACACCTTGCAATGAAAGTCCCACGTCGAGATATTCAATATATTAATAAAGAGCATTAGCTATAAAATAAATACTTGTGGCAATGAGAAACATACTTACCTGGATGGGGTCAATGAGTGATCAATAAGGCTCATGGCCTATAACTGCGACCTTCATTGCACATGGAAGGGGTGCTGTTTTAAGGTCTGCCCTAGTGGCAGAGCCTACATCATAATTTGTGGTAGAGGGGCTTGCGTTCGCGCAGCCCCTATAGTGTATAGTTTAAAACTGATTTTTTTGGTACTTGTAACTTAATTTATTTTGATGAGTTTCGTTATTATTTTGTTGATATTATCATGTTTTTGACAAAATATCTTCACAATAAATTAAAATGTCTGTTTTCCTCGAAATATTTATTATCTCACATAATTAACTTTTCTGATGACATTTGTGTTTTCTTGGCCGTATGCTGTTTTTTATGTCTTAAAAGATGATTCTTTCTAATTTGGTTGTTATAAGTCCATCTTACTCTTCAGTAAAGTTTTCTACATGCAGTACTCTAATGTCTGAATCCAAATGTTGCTAATTAAATCTGTTATGTATTTATAGCTACTGAATATTAGATCTGTTATGTATTTATAAATTTTGAATATTAAATCTGTTATGTATTTATAAATTTTGAGATAAATTTAGTTTAACGGCTATCTAAACAGTAATGATTTCTGTTATGTAATTATTCTTAATGTTACTCTGCTCATAGTCTGAGCATGTCTTCCATCAAGAAGATGAGAAGAGATTTGTTGAAGGCGAGGGGTGACCATGCATGTTATAGTGGGAGGGGTTCCGTCACACTGCTCGTCCAAAAGCGGTTGCTCGCGTAAGCAGTTACCGTGGCGATTAGAGGGAAATGTAACTGGTGTGAGTAAGACATGTGGATTCTCAACATTCATGCAACCGTTTGAAATGAGAGGTCGCGTTTCGTGGATCATCAGATCATTTCAACGATTAAGATTCGCCTGCAAAAATCCTTTTTCAACTATAAATAATGAGTGTGTTCGCTGTCATTTTCACACTTACTATTTTTCTTACTTCTTACGACCGAGCGTTTTTACTTAATCTACTATACTAAGATAATAATGGTGGATTGGAGTCGACATTGTTGTTCGTCGGCTCTTCTATCCTAGAGTTAATTGAGCAAGCCAAGACCTAAGACCCGTGTGTCCTTTGCGGCAAGCGTCCCACGCCTGTCACAGTTGTTCCCCCACTTCCAAAGATAAGGGAAAAGAAAGTCTTCCCGAGAGAAGTCTTCCTCCTTGCAAAAGAGGAGTAAGAGGAGTTCGCTTGAAATGCCTCTTCTCATTAGGTCGTAATCCAAACGTTTGGGTCACCCAATGAGTAAGCTAAAACCTATCCAACAAGAAAAAGGTCTATTTTAAGGAGATAATCTCGGAAGAAGTCGTATATATGACCTTTGAACTCACCGATTAGGTTGGGATTTGCATGATGTACTATGTGAGAACTACTTCTAAGGGTACTGACTTGGCTGAAGAGTTGCATACCGCTGAACAAGACTTTGAAGCGGTTTTGAAAACGAACGAAGACTTAAATTGTCTGTTTGAAGAAGCGAGAAAACCAACAAGAAGGCTAAGAAGAAGGTCTCAACTTCCCTATCATAGACTCCAACTGCATATTTAACTTATCTGCTATTTTTTAAATAAACAATTTTGAAAATTCAAGCCAAAATCATTTGGATCAAAAATGATTTTGACATTTTTGTGTCCTTGGTTATTGTATTCTGTTTTTTCATAACCAAAAATACACTTTGCAGTCACATAGGTACATTACTGTAAAAACGACTTAAAGTCCCACATCAAGATATTCAATATATTAGTAAAGAGCATTAGCTATAAAACAAATACTTGTGGCATTGAGAAACATACTTACCTGGATGGGATGAATGAGTGATCAGAAAGGCTCATGGTCTAGAACTGTGACCTTCATTGCACATAGAAGGGGTGCTGTTCTAAGGTCTGTCCTAGTGGCAGAGCCTACATCATAATTTGTGGCAGAGGGACTTGCGTTCGCGCAGCCCCTACTATATAGTTTAACTTTTCTTGTATAAAATCTTATTTGATAGTTCCTTCGAAGATAAGTAGTTAAGGCTTTACTGAAAATATTTTGTTCTAAAATGATTCTAACCTCAGAATCTTTGGACTGTTTTCTCTGCAAGTATTTGATGCATTATTATTTAGGTCAGTTTCATTACTTTTTTAATGATGTTTTCATGATTTTGACGAAATATCTTCATAATAAAATAAAATGTCTTTTTTCCTGACATGTGTTTTCTTGGTCGTATTCTGTTTATGACTAAAAAGAAGGTTCTTCTTAAAAGAACTTGAATCGCACAGAAAGGTTTTTTATGTCTCACATTGAAATATCCAAAAGGATAGTAAAGACGGATGAAACAAATGCTTGCGGCATTCTTTTTGCTTGGACGGAATTGATTATAGGCTCATGGCAGTGACCTTCATTGCACTTTGAAGGAGTTCTGTTTTAAGGTCTATTTGAGGGACAGATAATCCGGGTGACAGAGTCAGATTCTACGTCATAGTTTGTGATAGGAGATTGTGTTCGGGAATGATTTGCTAATTTTTGATAAATGCTATAATTTTCTACTTAAATTAAGTTGTGAATGATTTATTTGCTGGTATTATTTTAATTATTGTTGTATTGGGTGTATTATTCTTACTTTCCAATTTGAAGTTTCCTTCCATGGGTTGCTTACTAAACCTGGGTATGATATGGTTTGTTGATATCTCAAATTTCATTGTGATAAATTCTAACAGAATAATGTGAAAGTAAATTCTAAGAATCTCAAAACTATTGTGTATGGGAAGGGAAAAGTTATTATTTTCAAGACTTCAAACATATATAATCTCCATAGTATTGTTGAAGTGTACCTGCAGAATATGGAGGCATAGCTTGTGGATAACCATGTGGAGCAGGGTAAGCTGGTGGATAGTACCCTGAATGAGGATAAGCATTAGGTGGATACCCTCCAGGAGGTGGATATGCTGGTGCTGGTGCTGGTGGATATGCAGGTGGATATTCTGAAGGATAGTGACCAGGATGAGGATACCCTCCTTGTGGTGGTGGATATGCTGGTGAAGGGTAGGCTGTTGGAGGGTACCCTCCTGGAGGAGGGTAACCTGGTGCTGCATATCCAGTTGGAGGAGGGTAGGGAGGTGCACTTGGATACCCTATATGTGGAAATATACCTCTCTCACTTGACTCATCATCATCATCTTTTCTATTGCTCATGTTGATTCAACCTTACAACCAAGAAAAAGAAAAAGGATGTTAATTTATTGTTCATGCTGATCAATGAAAAACAGTTTTACATTTACATCCAATCACAAACCAGTTATAATTTCAGAAAAATTTATAAGTAAGATGTTAAAAAGGAGTTTACACCAATCTTTTCAAGGATGGAATGAAGTTATTCCTTAATCTTCACATGATTCAGTAGATCCATGCTTCATGGACAAAAAAATCAATACTGGTTTTTTGTACAGTGTCCTTGCAGAACAAAAAATGATTCAGGATAAGTTCATAAATATCCTGAACAGGAGCAAGGAAAAGATTATAGAACTAAGATCAATAACATAACTTTATTCTCTTTTGAAACAAGTACAACCAATATATCAATATCTAGCATGGATAATCAAGAACAATGTTCATCACAGCATTCAGAATCTATAATTTGATCAAATCCATGTTTCCTTCATCATGATCATGCCAAAGGATAAAGGATAATCTGAGAAGAAAAATAAGAACAAAAGCACTAAAATTGGCACAATCCAATAACCATGAAGAACCCTGTTGATCATGTTGTATAGCATATACAAAATTTACCAAAGAAAAGAAAAAGAATCATGACATGTCAATCAAACCAGACTGAAAACAGAATTCATTTCCACACAGAATATTAAGCAGCAACCATGGAAAAGAAGAATATCATTGTTGCTTCATGCTTACTCAAAGGGAATTTGTGAGTGCTTTCTCCAAAATATTCTAAAGTTGATGAAAGAAGATAATTGCCTCCAAAAGAATAAGAATGAATGAATTGAAACTTTACCTGTTCTTATACCTATCATTCTCTTCATTTTGAGGAGCACATGTATATTTACGCGTTTACGTTTTCTTGAAAACTGTTACAAAAACAATTTCCAGGTAAAAGGGCATGGAATAGTTTAATGATTTTTAATATTAAATTAAATCGATTAAAATATTTTTAAATTGTGTGTATACTAAATTTATCATCATTAAAAGAACTGTTTAACAATTAAATTAATTTTGTAGGATATTTTTAATGTAATTATAAATTTTAGAAATATATATTTACACCTTGGGTTACTAACCAGTTATAACTTTTGTTGCTCATGAATAAAATAACGAAAAACCAAAAACAGTTGTTTTGTTAATGTTCGTAGAATCCCGCTGTCCTTTTCCTTTCATCAGTCAATGTTGGTGTGATGTTAGGTATGCAGTTACATTAATTTTAGTAATTGCCAATAGTTTTTTTAGTTTAAAAATTAAAAAAAGAGAGCATAAATTACTTGCAGACAATCAAGCTTTTTAGACTGCAATCTTTATTTTATTTTAATTACTTTTTGAAATATTCAAACAAAATTGTTGATTTGAGTGAAAAGAAAAAAGAAATATTCAAACAAGATTTCTAAAGAATACCCTCCTCTCATAAGACATGTATGAAAAAAATATATTATCCTTTACACTACTTTGAACCTCACCTAAACTATGCCTACCATTTTACCAACCCTACCTTATAAATTGCATGGATAACTACTTGTATACTTTTTATTGTATTTGAAACTAAAATATAGTTTTTTTTCTCCTGTTTCGGGCCTTTGTATCAGAAAAACACATGAAATCATGAATAATCCAAGTTGAGTCTAATAAGGAAGGGAAAAAGTTTGTGCCTTTTCTTTCCACAAAATTACTTTTCAATTGTCGTAGTACTTGATCATATAAAAATACACTTCAAATACATAATACAAAAACCCTAAACCTTAACCAATTAGGTATGATATGTGCACCATGAGAAGTTCATTGGCAAGTATTCTAGTAGGAAGATGTGAGGTTTTGAATTGGTTGAACATGTAAAAGAACATGGACCCTGCAGACAAAAAAAAGTCCAAGCATGTTTTTAAAATTTGAGGTGTCATATGGGGTGCACAGTGTGTCTCATGAGTGTTCCTTTCCATTTATGTCTGACATGGATAAGGTTGTCCATTTTTCTTCATAGTAGGAGAGAAAATCAACAAAGTAGTCAATCTTGAGAACTCATCATTCATATCTGTTTCTGGTACAATCTTCTAAAGATTTTTGCACCTTCAAGTTCTGCATGGATCTCTCTCTCAGTCCTTATTCCCATGGGGTTGCTTAACAACCACCCTTCACTGTCACACAACATAGCTGGGTTGGAAACATCTATGTGTTTCAATTCTTCAACTTCATCAAACTGATTTCTCATGTCAAGTGCCACTTGAAGCACATCAGACTGTACAAATACCTGTCATAACACAGTAACAAATGAACCAAAATTTCAGTTAATAGCTCCAAAATAAGTGTTAATATCAGTAAAAGAAATATTCAGAACCAAAACATGAATCTGATAACAAAATGAAATAAAGAACCTCAACATTTCTGTAGGTGTCCTAATTTTACACTATATGAAATGATACACGCATAGTCTTTATGCAAATGACTTTCCAAAATCAATATAAATGTGAATACAAATTGAGTCAGAACTAGAGTATATGATTGTTTTAGGAATTCGGATTCTCTGCTGGTTTTTTTGGTGTGTCTTTAAAATACATTGATGGAAATTGATTTTGATGTTTTAAAATATATTAAAAAGAATTTTAATATACCAACGTCAGTGTATTTTTAATGTTCAACAGAAGACAACACCAAAAATCCCAACATAGAATCTGGACTCTTGTTTTAGTATATCAGTTGCTTCCACAATCTTTATGACAGTGACTACCCAGAATCAATATAAAAGCACAAGAGGAGAGGAAAAGTGTATGTGAGAAAATTTTGTTTTACTCATTTCCTCTGACAGATATAGAAAATGCCATTCCATGCATTATTACCCCCATTAAGGTAAAACACCATTTAGAAACTCTCAAGCGTGTTGCTGATAATTGTCTTCTAACTGGAAGATTATATATTATACATCACTAGTCAACTAATGTGTCAAGTATTTTCACAGATTTATATTTCTCAAAACCTAAGCTTTTTCATTATTAGTTCCTTTAAAAATAATTAAAGAGTAACATACTTATCTCAATTAAATAAATTCATAGCATGGTCCATCTTCAGTCTTTATTTATGGAGCAAGCTCTTGTACAACCAATGTAAAAAACATCTAACTTGTAGCAATTAAAATAAGACAGTATAGTATAAGAAGGAAATCTCACAGAATAATATTTACCAAAACTCTAGATGAACACGCATGAGTTTGCAATCATGCAGAAATATACCTGTCCCCCTGGCATTAAATTGTCCACTATAGCACCAACCAAAGGCTTCTGGATAACTCTTCTTTTATGATGTCTTTTCTTGAAATGTGGGTCTGGACACTGCATGTGTTGGGTGAAATCACTTAACCACAAAGGAAAGACATTTTTTTATGTAAAACCCTTAAGTAATGACAACGTAGCCAACAAGCCCTTAGCTCTGTGGCACCCTTTTCTTACATTGCAGTGCTACACAGAAAACAACTCACCAGAATTGAGACTAAGACCAAGGGCCCAGGATATGATTCTACCAACTGCTTGAAAGAAATTGTGGCATTTGCAAACATGAAATGTCTGGCATTTTAGTGTAACAACAGTCATTACTCCAGCATTGAAAAAGAAAAACATATATAGAGTTTTAGGACAGTACATGTTATTGAGAGCCAGATCCTTTGCCCATGTCTCAGCACGCTTGACTATCTGCACAAGAATTGCATTTTCAGACAAGATATCCCCTATATTCAAAGCTTAATGAGCTCAACAGATAAGAAATAATAACTGATTGAAAGAAGCAATTATCGAGGGCATTTCAAACCAAAAGTGATGGAAAGAAAATGATTCCATACCCTTTCCCGGATTTCCAATCCCAAAAAGTTTCTCTTTTTAGGAGTTCTTTTAGCCAACCACATTAGAAACCTGCCACTGCCTGACATTGTTCACAAATTACAACATCAGATATGCTGAATAGGTGTACTTAGTGAAATGATTCATAGATCATTGTCCAACAGATACTTCTTAATGGCATCTTTATGTCAAGGGTAAAAATTAATGAAAATGATTGTTATATCAATATGAACAAGATATTTTGATTCAACAAACCAAAAGCCAATTGCAACCTCGGTATTATATCATGTAAGAAAATAGTTCCATCATTATTAACTTCACTTCCACATACATGATATGTGCCAGTCCATAACAGACACACAAAAATGCATCAAATAAATTTATCATTGAAATTAAGGTTACCACATCCAATGTCCACCATGAGTGGCAACATTGGGTCTGCAAAGACTTGGTTCCAGTCTGGTACTTGTGCAGGAACCTATAAAGAAAAAGATCCATCTTCAGTGGAAAGCAAAAGACTACTTCAATGCATGATGAATGATTCATTGAACCAATATTCCAACTCTATGCCACAAAAGCTATTTAACTGCTGTTTCTGTATCTGCCTCTGGATCTCCACAACAATGCATCACAAGTTAAATTTTGATACACTATCAATGCACAGATTTATATACTGTTNACCAAAAATCCCAACATAGAATCTGGACTCTTGTTTTAGTATATCAGTTGCTTCCACAATCTTTATGACAGTGACTACCCAGAATCAATATAAAAGCACAAGAGGAGAGGAAAAGTGTATGTGAGAAAATTTTGTTTTACTCATTTCCTCTGACAGATATAGAAAATGCCATTCCATGCATTATTACCCCCATTAAGGTAAAACACCATTTAGAAACTCTCAAGCGTGTTGCTGATAATTGTCTTCTAACTGGAAGATTATATATTATACATCACAAGTCAACTAATGTGTCAAGTATTTTCACAGATTTATATTTCTCAAAACCTAAGCTTTTTCATTATTAGTTCCTTTAAAAATAATTAAAGAGTAACATACTTATCTCAATTAAATAAATTCATAGCATGGTCCATCTTCAGTCTTTATTTATGGAGCAAGCTCTTGTACAACCAATGTAAAAAACATCTAACTTGTAGCAATTAAAATAAGACAGTATAGTATAAGAAGGAAATCTCACAGAATAATATTTACCAAAACTCTAGATGAACACGCATGAGTTTGCAATCATGCAGAAATATACCTGTCCCCCTGGCATTAAATTGTCCACTATAGCACCAACCAAAGGCTTCTGGATAACTCTTCTTTTATGATGTCTTTTCTTGAAATGTGGGTCTGGACACTGCATGTGTTGGGTGAAATCACTTAACCACAAAGGAAAGACATTTTTTTATGTAAAACCCTTAAGTAATGACA